TCTTTCCCGTGTGAAGGCTGCACGTGGTGTCAGATACAAAAATCTGCAGTTCCTCAGGATGGAGTAGCTGAGTTAGCAGGTCCTGCTTTAGCAGCTGGTCCCCATGGAATTCCTGCCACAGCAATGCAGCAAGCCAGGGGAAAGTGAGTGTGCAGACCAGCTACCCAGGCAGTGATGGGGCAGCCATGGGGACAAACTGATGCCACCTCCTTCATTCTGTGGCTCCTGACTGGCCATCAGCCCTGCTGCAGCGGGGGCAGATGTCCTGTCACTGTCACAAGCTGTGGGGAAACGCACACCTCAGCTAGAAAAAGGAGTCAGCAACTATTTTCCAGAAAATGTCATCCACACACTAAACAAAGAACAGAAGCAGATGTCTGGGCTTGCAGCCACATTCCTTCATGGGGGTGTCCTCCTCATGAGTGGCACATGGGCACTGCAGTTATGTGTTGTGGACACTGAAAGTTCAAGGTGAAGGGGACCATGATGCTCCCGTCCCATGGCATGAGGAGGTGCAGGCTCACATGAACAGCTCCAGCCTCCACTTTCCTCTGCCTCACTTCTCTGTAGGCTCTTTGTTTCAATTTTTGATGGGGATCTGGGATGCCTGGGATAAGGAAAGCCCACTGCTGCTGCAGGGCAGTGAGGTGGAACAGGGACTGGGTCCAAAAGGAGCACACAAATTAATCTTGAGCTGTGCACCCTCCTACCCTGGTTCTGTGTGCCTGTTGGCAGACCACAGCTCTAGGAGAGCGGGGGCAGAAGAAAACAGGATGATGTGTTTCCTCTGACATGGTTAGAGATGTGTAAGTTGGTGGTTAGTGAACCAGAGATGTTCAATTGACTGACAGTGAGATGAAAGCAGTGTTTCCTGGCAAGTTTCTTGCCTCTGCCTCCTCTCCTGCCCTCAAAACCCCACTGGCTTCCCCTGAGCCCTCTCCTTGCTCCAGGTTACCCAGAGCCCCTTCTGGCAGGGCAAGGAGGCAGGAGTAGAAGTGGACAACTGATGGACTCACAGCCCAGCTGAAGCCCACCCTCGCCACTCCCTGGTGTCACAGGGCAGCAGACAAAGAGCTGCGGAACCCTATGGCCATATCACTGCTTTTGCTAACTCCCCATCACTATAACAAGCCAACTCCTTGTCATCCATGTCCTCATCTTCCATACAGGTCACTCATCTCCCACTTCCTGCCCAACCAACTGAAGAGTAAAACTGCCCCCCACACCTCTTGATGGCTACTCCTTCCCCATCTGGTCTGTCCTTCCCCATAGGGAAGAGCCCTGGAGAAGCTACAGGTAAGTCACAGCCATTGCTGACAACTCCAAAGAGACGGAGCCCAGGTTTTAGTGTGGTTTAACTCAGTAATTCCTCTGTGTCCTGGTTTGGTTCTGACACAGTTTTGGTGGCTCCTGTAAGAAGCTACTAAAAGCTCCCCTGGCTCAGGGGGCCAAAGCCAAGCAGAGAGAAACTATAGGTGCACATCCATGATTAACATATGAAAGAACTGATATGAGACCTGAGAGCAGAGAGAACAAGTAGAAGAGCTGAGCTGGAGAGGAGAAGAGCAGAGCAGTGCCCGACTGAAGATCCCAAGGTTGGTGAGGAAGAAGGGGAAGGAAGGTGCCCGAGCGTAAGTTCCCTTGCAGCACGTGGCAGGATGGCAGGTTGTCCCCCTGTACCCAATTATCAAGCACAACTATCAGCATCCATGCTTATAAGAAGCACAGGTCTTTGTGTGTCCAGAAGCTATAGAAATGTCACCTGAACTTTGCTGGGCCAGCAGAAAGGAAGCACATACTCTGAAAGGGCCTAATTCTTCATGTGGTTAAAATGGGCTATAATTCAACTAAACACCTGGATGTTCACCAGCCAGTTCTGTTCACCACCAAGGGAAAAAACCCAACACAACAACAAACAAATTATTCTTGCCAAATCCAAAGGGCATCACCGTTTTGAAAAGCTGGAGGAACTTGCAGTCATTTGGGAGGAACATCAGCACTGCACTTCTGGTTTGGTGACAGATTGCAAGAAATCCTGGGGAAGTGGTCAGGGAGGAGATTTGTAACCCTGGGGAGCTCTGATTCTCTCCCGTGGATGCTGCACCTGTAACAGGATTTGAATCTAGCCACAAGGTTGTGCAAATCTCCTGACAGCCTGGCAGCAAAACCAAAACCCACCTTGGAACTACTCTGACATGTGCCCCATCATCCCTGGAAGTTTTCAAGGCCAGGTTGGATGGGGCTTGGAGCAACCCGGTCTACTGGAAGGTGTCCCTGCACAGGGCAGAGGGGTTGCACTAGGTGATCTTTAGGGTCCCTTCCAACCCAAACCATTGTATGATTTTGTAATCTCTGTAGATGCAAGCTCTGACATTTTCTATTTCTGTGCACACATCATTGCTAAAAATGGTAAGTGTTGTTAATATGGTCATTATTAAAATAAATTATTTCTCTATTTTCACCTTTTTGTTTCTTTACCTTTTATCTTTAATATCTTTTTCCCTACCAAACTTGCAACCAATTCAACTGGGTGTGGTACAGCCAGAGGATGGCAGAGCACATGCACGGACAATGCTGTATCACTTTAGCTTCTACAGAGGGTTTCAGTGATGGATAAGGGGGTTCAGTGAGGTGCTTCATTTTGCTCTGAGATGAAAAATATCCCGATCCCCTGTGAAAAACACAGAAAAATCACTTTAGAATCTGGGACATTTGGATGAGGATTTTTTTTTCCCCCTCAAATTTTCTCTGATAACATCTCCCTATCATCTTAACTTGGATTTCAGGATAAAATAGGCAAGGATGGCTGAGAGAGAAATCTAAACATAGGATTTTAAGGCAAACTTCTAGAACATTGACACAGTCTGAGGTGGGCAATGAGAAGATAAGAAAGTGTTTGGTGTTTACCTGGAATTCAGATTTTTTAATGCTGTTTCCTGTTCATTGCTCTTTCTGCCTCATTCTGTCCCTGGAGGTTGTGGGCAAGAATGTGTCCAGATGTTGTGATCTAAGGTGTTCCCGTGACCAGCCAGTCACTTCATC